TATATATATATATATATATATATATATATATATATATATATATATATATATATATGCATGAGATGAGGCGGTGATACACCACCGTCTCATTCTCCTTTTTTTTATCTCGTCTCGATTCTCTTTCTAAAAATCTATCTGTCTTCTTTCTAAATTTCACGTCAAGTTACTAAGTGGATCGAAGTAGCAAATATATATTCGAAATCCACTCTCCGAACCCTTCTTAAAGGTATAAATTTCATTCAGTTTTATTATGGTGTTTATGTTAAGGTTATTAAGACCGGTTTATAAACTGTGTTTATATCTAAGTTTACGGATTGATGTTGTCAAAATCATGATATATTTGATGCTTAGAATGTTAGGACTGGTTGAATTGATGTAGAAATGAAAAAGATATATTATAGTTTCAATATGATTAGATTGTGGGTAAATATTTAACCGTACACCAATTGTTCGGTTAAATGTCGAAAGGAGTAAAAATACATGATTAAGCTTAGGTTAACGACCATTGGACTTGTTTTACTGTTTAACATGTTGAAGTACGTTTATAGCATGTAAATGTAGCAAATCATGAAAGTTGGATCATAAAAGTTAGTCGGGAATTACGGAATCGAATTTTACCGACAATGTAACTCCCGTACTTTGACAGTGTATAACTCACAAACCGTAAGTCGGATTAAGCTCATATTTTGCAGTCAGGAAGATCATACTGCATACTACAACTTTTATTGAGGGTCAAAATTCCAGTTATGACTCTAAGTGGCTCGAAACAGTGTGTTTTTGAGGCTGTTTACACTGTATCCGGGATTAATTTACAGTTTTGTGAAATTCATATAAAATAGATGGATGATCCAAATGAGATGATTTCAAAAGCAATAGACTCGTATGATACCAATCTACAACTTTCATTTAGAAAATATAATCTGGATTTGTTTCTAAGTAAGAGAATAATGCTTAGTTTTACGTTTGAGTTTTCAATTCGTATATGGCTGTCCTTCTTGAAGTCTACGTTGTTTAAGTAGATTAAGACCTAAGTAATTTTATTAGAATAGTTATATTGTGGTTTCTAAGCTTTATAAATAGTAACCCGTTTATACATTTCGTTAGGCACGCGGGCAAATCAAACTTGATTGTGAATTTCCGTTTGATCGTGCGTTAATTGTCAAATTCAGTTAATGTACGGATTTCATATCTCACTTGACACGGGGATAGCCATTTGCATAAGGCTTCCTAATCCGGATAATCTGTGATAAATTCCAAATAATTTGTTCTGAATTTTCTTTATGCTTATCAAATGTTATTGAACTGTGTTTTCTTTTGAACTACGACTTATATTCTTATTCGGAATATGGATCATTTTGATCACTTGACTTGTTTGTTTGCTTCATTGTGAAACATTTTACTATAGACTCAATAACTAGAGCACCGGTATTGAGATGTTCCCATGGTGACTAAAACGATCATGGCGTTCTCATTTTTATAGTCCTTAAAGGTGGACTTGATTATGTACCGGTCGAATAGAGGGCGTATGGATCGATCCTAGGAACCGTTATCGGATATTGAATTGTGGCCGTGCTTAAATTCACGGAGAGGATTGTTGTGTTGTGCTCGCACCCCTTTCCTCACTTGTACCTGAATGGACTGATCATCCTTTGGGAACAATGCGTCCTCGTGATGCGGTTTGGTCTTCGGACCCTTGACATCCTTTTGGGGCATTTTGACTTTCTTTTGAATTATCACTTGGCTTTATAAATTGCTTTTGAACTTGTTATATCATATTCATTGTTTAATTATTACTATCCGTTCACTGAGCATTAAGCTCAGCCGAGATTTTCTTGTCCTCGGCAGGTACATGACTTAGCAGRGATTTTGGGATGAGAKCTACGGAGATGACAATATTGAAGATAACTCATTAAGTCATACTTTTGTTAAACTTTTGATGACTATTGTAGATATACTGATATTTTGGGACCATATTTTGAGACACGTTATCTCCGTCTGTGGTTATGTAATTATCTTTTGGTAAATTTTATTAGCTGCTCTGTTTTATATAGCGCGTTTTTTTTTAATCCTAATTGTGGCATCTCCCGTCTTTGACCACGCGGGACGGGGGTGTTACAATACAGGTTCAGTTTCATTTGGGCCTAAAAAAATTACTGTTAGTCCAGCCGGCAGTCCACGCATCCATCATCGACTCTTGTTCGCCTCGCCTACGCTACGGCCTACCTCGCTTTGTCGACACTCACTCTCAATCGCAAACGGCAAAGGGCAAACGCTCTCACTGACTCACTCTCAATCGCAATCGCTCTCGCTCTCTCTCTACCTGACTAGTGACTGCCTCTCTCGAGTCTCTAGTCTCGACTATTGACTCAGACTCCGTCCCGACTGGCCGACTGCCATCGCCCGTCGGTCTGCGGCTGCCTGTCGGCGTCTCTACTCTCTCGTGAATCGTCGCTCTTTACGGGCTTGCGGTTCTGCATCTACGCCTCTGTCGCTCTCTCGTCGCTCTCTACTCTCTACTCTCTAGAACAGACTATTGAGTTGAGTATTGACCTACTATTGTTGTGACTTGTGAGGTGTGTGAAACTTAACTTAGAGTTAGGGTTATTAACTTATTTTATATTTTTATTACTTATT